CAAAATCTAACTAGAAAACTAAATAATGTGAAGGACGAAATAATAATACCTAAGTACCTAAACTACTAATAAAAGCTTTTATGTGCGAATCTAACAATGTTCTAAAAACATTAATCAATTAATTGTATATACATATGTATTTATGCTTTATGAAGTTTAAAATGAACAATATACGGCTTTAACGATTTTAATGAAACTTTCTTCTAATTTTCTACTTAAAGTATTTCTTTAAATTTTCGTACTTTTAGTTAATTCTCGAGACAATTCAAGAAAAAAAGTTATAAAGAAAATGAAATTGTTTTATGGAGCTAACTCTCCACGTATACACCTATCGTTTTTAAACGGATCTAAACGGTTCTGAGCCTGTTTTGAAACTTATTTTTTGAAAGGTCATTAAATTTCTGACAAAATTGTTGACAAAAACATCACAAGAATCGGTTCAGTTTTAGTTGTTAACGTATATATTGTTTTTTATACGCTGATTTTAATGGTGGTTCACTTGTCCGTTTAAATTGCGTGTTTCATTTAAGGAATAGTACCCCAATGATTTTACTGATCAATTTTTAGGAAAATGAATCTATGCCAATTGTTTTTCTCTGATGGACACATTTAAAGTTGTATTTTTTTAAATGTATAGGAAATTCTTGTAAGTGGACACAATACATTTTTAATTAAAATCATTAGGAAAAATATATAAACTGTCTTTACTCTACAACTCTTTCTTTCCATATAATTGGAGGGATGGAGGAGGGTTATCACTACCTTTCTTTATTCTTAATTTTATTGATTTAGTTGTACTTTACAATACTTATGTCAATAAAACATCTAATTGTAGTTATTTTGTAGTGTTTTTTTGAGATTTAAAGTACCATATTAATAAATAGCAATAAGCAGATAACTGCAAGACTATTGCGCAAGACCAAGACCAAGACCAAGAATAAGTGCGCAAGACCAAGACCGAGACCAAGACCAAGGTTCGTTGACGCAAGACCATGACGAGACCAAGGCGGTCTTGGTCTTGGTCTTGCGTTTGGGCAACACTAGTTATGAGAGATCGAAGAGGAAGCAAGGTTAAAAACGAGAAGATTAGGATGATTCTGAAGTTTATTATGGAAACATATGGAACATTAAAATCGATATAGATAATTTTATTCGTAGCAGATATTAATGATTGGACACGAAAATATTCGATGGTTTGGTGGAGCCTCGTAGCTCGATTCCGTAAATCTAAATTGATCTTATTATCGTCATGTATATGAGTCTTTTGTTATTGATTGGAAGCTTAGAACGTTTGTCCAGTAAGTGCTGAAGTAGTGGAAAACGTCGAGCGACTTCTTGTCGCTTCTGTATGCTATAAGTATTCCAAGCTAGACGTGTGTCCAGGTGGAGTCCTAGCTATCGGATTATTTCAACAGAGATAAGTGGAGTATTGTTAAAGGATATTGTAGGACAGGAAGTCATAGGTTTACGAAAAAAATACATTTAAAAAAATTAATTCAAATCGAGATAAAAATCAAGAAACTGCGGAACGACATTCTGTAAACTTAGACGAGCAAGTGCAGAGTTTCTTGCATTACTTCAATGCATTCCTCCGTATCAGATTTTATTGAATACTTTGATATTGCTTCAGTTTTTTGGTTGTCCTCGACGAATCGACTGAAGCAAGTTCTTTTTATAGGTGTATAACAGATAGCACAGTGTTTGGAATTTCATTGAATGTATTACAAAGTGTATTTGGAATGATTGTTTGGAAAATAGGCACAAAAACGTGAGAATGCCACTGAACAACAATACGAAAGACTTACCTATAACTAATTTAGTTTTTCGAGAGAAAATTGATATTATTACTACAATTATTTAAGTAAAAACAATAGCAATAGTGATAGAAGAGTAGCTCATTCACAATATGTACAATAAATAAACAGAAAAATAATAATACTAGAAGTAAATGTACATAAAGTAAAATAAACCAAATTAATCAAAATAACTACTTAAATATACATATGCTTTCATACAATATTTACATAATTCATTCACTCAAGCATTCCGAGGCAACCATTTCCTCCACTTGTGGAATTAAAGGCAGGACTCGAGGAGATCCCAGCGCCTCTCACTCAGCCGTATTACTGGTATGAGGAACCAGTTGAGCCTGAGCAGAGGCGCTACAACCAGACATACTTGATGCTTGGGTGGAGATTCTGGCCATTGCCAGAACTATTGGATTTTATGTATGCAAATATAATAATATAATATTTTTTACTTTCAATATAATACATTTCTAATCTTAGCGCTAACTTTAGGAAGTTGTCCATAGACTCACATTATTAAAAGATAATATTTCTACTAATAACAATGAAATATCAAAGGACTGTATGAATCATCTAACCTTTTCACAATCAATAGACCGATATTTTCTGCCATTTCATGATAATCTGTGGCTAAAAATAAAATGAATGTTACATTCGATACCACAGTTCTAAAGAAGCCATCAGTTTATTAAAAGTTTTATCGGAATTTTATCATAAGTCTAAGTTCATAATAAGGATTCACTGCCGCTCACCTGATCGCGTATGGAGGACCCTACATTACCTCTATTGGAAATTAAATGGCTTTTCTATTTGAACAAACTGTTTTATTCTTTTCGAGAGATGTGTACATTATAATTTATTAGCAAAAGACGGAAAATGAACGCTATTTTTTGTAAAGTAGCTTATATATATTTGTATAATTTGGTTATGCACCTCACCTTTTGGCCCTACATTAAAATAACTATAAAATTTATGGAAAAATTAATATATTCAATTTAGTACCAATTGGTGAATCGTGTATTGTATTGACAATTCTCATTACTCAAAGGATAAAAGGACAAAGCTATCCCTAGATAGCCAGGTCAAGCTATCTCTGATAACTTAGAAATAGTTATCTAGTAGGTGCCGTCTGGACACAACAAGACCTATTATCAAGAATTAAGAAACAATAACAGATTTTTGCAAAAAGGTCTCTTTCTCACAGATATCATCTTAAGAATATTAAGTATCAAAAACTTCCTTTGGAGTCCTCCTCCGACTTCCCTTCACCACCTTGCTATTCTTGAGTATATAAACCCTATGATCCTATGGACTAATCACTCTTGAAGTCAGTTACATTCTTGAAGTCACACTCTTGTAGGAAACCTGGAGTGAATTCTTACAGTCAACCCATATATTCATAGAATTACCCTGTATTTTAAGATGCCATTTGTAACAGACATTATGAATAAAAATATTACTTATAAAGTCTTCACTGCATCCGATTCGTTAACTTTTTTTTTTTTTTTTTTTTGTTGTTCCCTACCTCGCCTTTTAGGCTATACAGGATTTTCCCGGGTCGGGGTGAGCGGTGAGGTAAGGAATTTAAAATCCCCTCCGGCACTGGGACGCGAACTCGTACTTTTAAATCTTCTTAAATTTGTAATCCGGTTGCCAGGCAACTCGCTGTGCTGTGCACACGCTTTAGCCCATTCGGCCACCCCGCCCCCTCCCGATTCGTTAACTGTAGCAAAGAACGTATCTACGATAGCATCAACTTGAGATACCACAAGGCCCAACATCGAAGTATACTTTAAGATTAAGTGATCCTTTAAAACTCTGGCATTTCCATCCAACGCATAAGTTTGCCGAGCGGTTAGTGTGCCCCCTTGCTCAAAGGGCGGTGAAAACCTCCCGAGTGACTGCACCGCAGAACTTCCTAAGAAGCTTAAGCTAACAATAAATCTTCATACTACAAATTTTAATTATTTCAGAAAGAAAAAAAAATCAGAAAAACTAAAATGGAAAAATTACATTCCAAAATTAAAACAAAAACTATTGCCAAAAATTGAACGATCGATTGCGACCTTTTGTGAGCGACCTTCAGAAAAATTGGACGAATATTTGATAGCTTCTTTTGTGCAAACTAGTTCCATCCTACAATTTTATTTATCGTTGGCAATTATTTGAGTATTGCAGTCATAGGGAAAAATATTTAAAAAAAAATGTATGCCAACGTTTCGGCAAAAGTTTCAGACTTTAGTCAAAACTGCTTGTTTGGAGGTTTTCGGCAATTATTTTCAATAATGAACCATTGTGATCGACCGAAAAATTCAAAAACTTTACGCCTTTCAAAATTTGAGGTTTCACGTTTCAGGATACGTAGAAATCGAAAAACGGATACAAAATGTGTAGTCCGTCCGCCGTCTGCCGTCCGCGCATTTTCTCCGAAACTACTGGACCCATTTTTTTCAAATTTGGATATAAAATCAGAGCTCACCCGAGGATGATTCTCCTTCATCGACATTACTATCCGCCTTTTAATTTCAAAATTGCGGCCGAAAAATCGTTAAACCGTTGTTGCTATAGACTGTAGCGCCTAAACGAATGTAGCGATTTCAATTAAACTATGCAAAAGCCATTTTCTCGACGCTCGTTAAATTTATTTATATAACATACTTCAACGAAAAGAAGATGGAAAAAAGTTACGAGGGGTGGTAAAATTAAATTCCGAATAACTCAAAAAGTATACACTTTTTTGTAGATATTTTTGATTGATCGATGGTTTTTTAAAATTTTACGTTATTTCCTAAAAAGCTAAGAAAAAATCATTAAAATCGGGCAATTAGGAGCAAAGATATGGTCTCTAGTTTTTTTTTTTGTTATTGAATTTTGAATGTGTTATTGAAGTAAAGCTAGTTTTTTAGCATATTACTAATGATTAAAAAAAAGTCTGGTGCAATAAGTGCAATCTCCTTTTATTTATTTTTCTTTATAATTAGGAAGGTAATGTTACTTTAGATGTATAATTGTTTGGAAATAATAAACCATTGTGAAATAATTTGCAGCGTTTTTTTTTATTTGTGACTGCAATCTTCGGCTAACTTCTCATCTATTTCTCCACCATTATAACCTTACTTATAAATCTAATATATTAAAAAAAAATCTGAAATATCTTATATGTGCGCACAAATACATTTGAATTTTTTTTAGGATCGATGCCGGCGGGTGGCACCCCAGAGAACATTACCATCATGTTCCTGAGTCCCTCAGAGGTAAAAGTCTCCTGGACTACAGCCGTCGAGCCGGCCGAAAAGTATGACGTTACTTATAAACCCACCGATGCCAGGTCAGTTTCATTTCTGCATGATTAGCTTCATAGTTTAAGACAATAATAATCCATACATAACGAAATAACAATAATTACACAGCATATGGATAGCATCGGTGGTAAACTGTACTATGTCATTTCAATCAATATTTAAAATAATACAGCTTAACAGTAAAGTAGCTTGAATATAATTGAAATATTTGTATACTCCACAATGGATGATATTTCAGCCAGCAGTTATATATAACCAATTATACAACTATCCAGTGCCGGCCTTAGGATGGAGCAACCGGGGCAATCGTTCTGGGCGCCGACCTGGAAGGGCGACTGCCGATCTTAAGGGACGCTGGTAACTTGTTATAAATTAAAAAAAAAATTCAAATCTTATAAAACCATCAAGTTTAGCCAATCAATGAACCAACTGCATAAGACAAATGTTGAATGAAATAAAATTCATATATTGCATAATATAAAACAACTTAAGGAATTGATTCATTTTTTTTTTAGAAGAGGGGAAGATGACGTCCCGGAGGGGGCGCCGAATGTCTAAGGCTGCCACTGCAACTATTAATCTGTATATATTAATACAAGTTTTGAATATTTGATAGTTTACCGCTGCATTTCAAGGAAGGAGATGGTCCAGGGTGGCGATCATTAATAGGCTAAATAGTGGCAAAACTATTTTATTAAAAGCCGACTTTGCAGGTCTTCTTCAGGGAAAAACTCGAGTCTAAGTGAAACTCCTAGCTGAACACACCTCTCTGAAGAAGACCTGCAAAGTCGGGTCGAAATGTTGGCTTTTAATAAAATAGTTTTGCCACTATTTAGCCTATTTATACACCCTGGACCATCTCCTTCCTTTATAGTACAAGTTTTGTACAATATCGACATAATGCAGCTCACATTTACTTCAAAATCCAGATATACGAGTATGTTATTACTAAACATCAATAACATATTATACATAAGAAGTATAGAATTCAATATTTCTAAAGCAGACCTGTACGAAAAGCACTTTAAAATACATAAACTATTTTGTTTTTTTTAAATACAATTTTAATCATTTAGTACAATATTTCAATTACTAATTAATTTAAAATTACTTTACTAATTATTTTATTTAATACATAGTTAAATTTCAAATACAAAATACTTTTTTTTTAAACAATTTAAATATTTGGTGATTGAAATTGTATTTTAGAAACACAAAATACAATACTTTGTATGTGCAACAAAAAAATTTAAAATACATTTTTGCCCAGGCCTGGTCTAAATTAGAATTTGTTTTTCAGTATTAAAATGTATAAATAATTTTATTTAGATATATGGATTTTTTTTTAATTATCAAAATTATAAATAGTCGGTATTGCCAGTCTATATTTGTTTTTTTTTGGTTTGCCGACATATCGAATCAAGTACGTGTGTCACCAGCAGGATAATAGTTTTTGTCTGATCCACTCCACCACTTCTTCAGTTCTTGATGCACAAATTATCGTCAAGATTATGACGCACTTGCATCGGTCGAAACGTCGATGAGCCGGTTTAAACAAACCTAGAATGAAAATCCTTACTACTCATCACCCTTACAGATAATGTAGGTTTTGTTCATTTCAGCAAATTATTTTATAATTTTACATGACAAGAAATCGAAGATAACCTTCGTTAAAAATGCTTCCTATGATGAACGAACCCTGTTCAAACCCAACTCAGGGGCGAAATTAGGGAGGGTCAAAGGGAGCAATTCCCACGGGGTGCAAAGTTTAGGAAGCGCTAAATTCGAATGAACTTTTATCTTTAGGTTAATTTCTTTTTGATTATTTTGACTTGAAATGAGACAATTAATTGAGTTGATGTTATATAAAATGATAATATTTATTTTGAAATGTATTATCTAAAATATTGTTTACTAGTTTTACCACAGCGATATATATTCAGAAATAATTATGCATTTAATATATATTTTATTTAAGGGAGGGAGAGTGAAATAAGGGGCGGTAAAATTAAGCTAGCTTCTCCTAGAGCCTAATCCCCCTGTCCTATCTTGGCATGCTATTCTTTTTTTTTTTTTTTTTAAACAATGGGAGTTTGACAATCGAAATCGTGGTTTGCCAAATTCTTACTAAAAGAGCGAAATCCGATACATTTACCTAATTCTTAGAATATTCAAATGCTTTGCATTTATTGGAATTATTTGTGAAATAAAGCTATTTACAATTATATCATACCAAAATATACTGTGAAATTAGGTGCTTAATAATTACAGTTGACAACTTAATAATACTAAATTATTAAGTATAAGTATAAAACTTTTCCAAAGTATTTAGGTAATACTTAATGATTTAATTAGGTACTTAGAGGATGAGAAAAATGGAAACATTAAAATTATCACGAATAATTTGCCTTACGAAGATTTTTTACAAACCTTATTCAAAGTAAGACCGTGAATAATGTCATGAAATGACAACCTTTACACACCCATAACTTAATTAAGCCTACTTCTAAGCCTTCAGCAACAACTCGTTGAAACTGCTGTAGAATAAACTTTGCTCTAAGAATGAAATCGAGGCGAAGCACCATATGTTAAAATTCAAAAGATAACCACAATAAGTAAGAAAATTAGATAACACATTATTTCTTGCAATACACGATTGAATATTTAAATTTGCAAATGTATACATTTATATGTATATATCATAATTAATAAAAATCATAAATTAAAAAAAAAATTTCTTTTATTTGCCAGATATGTCCGGCTTACTTTTTTTTGGCTAAGATATTTCTGTGTAGCTTGATCTGATCTGCAAAAATAGCCTGATGTTAATACGTGAGATTAATTTCATTAGTATTTTCCTTAGCTGTGAGCAACAAATACTTATACTAAATGTTTGCATTCTTAAAAATAAATACTATTAAGGATTCGAGAAAATTGAAAACCAACAATGCACATTATTGACGAATGCAGAATACACATCTCACCTCAACAGCTTAAAAAAACGATTAAAACATATTTCATTGCCCTTAAGTAATCAACATATCACCTTCCTCAGTGTGAAGGAGAGTACAAAACGTTTTATTTAGGGTTATTTTGTTATTAACAGAATTTTGGGCATAGTATTAATGTTTTCTTATTCTATCGTTGTTACATATCAATATGGTTGATATTTAATTTCATTAAACGTTTTTGTTTGTGTATTTTATCTGGAATCAGCATAAATAAGTTCTCGATTGAACATGGAAAAAACTGGTAAGGAGTGGAGGGAATGTACTGGACTCAGACAAGCCAAAGAGTTAATTAAAAAGCCTTCTTCCTAAACAGAAAGTAAATCCGATGAGGCCACTCCAGACTTAAAAGACATCTAAAGATGGGCGGAATAGTTGGCGATTAACTCCGCCATCTGTTCAGGCAAGCACTGGAAACCACCTCCAACTATATAACAGAATGTGGCCTCAGACATTATCCTAGAACAGAAAGCTTTCTCCAGAAAATAGTCATACGTTTTGAACTTATTAAGAAGAAAGAAAAGGATTGAGACAGAGATGGTGACGATATAGATTATCATTGTTATTACTTTCACACAACAACAGCCCGCTTTCAGAGTTTGTCACCCACCAATACCAATACCAGTAACTCAACTCGAAAATTGGAATTTTTAAGTTACGCGGTTTTACATTTGAACCTAGGATACACTTTAGAATACGAGTTTAATTCTCTTATCACAGTAAGTGCGCTACTTTAACGACTCTGTTTTGAGGAGCTATATAAAACTGAAACATATTTCATATACGTGATTTAAAATTGTTATATTCATCAATGTCGGTGTAACTTAGAGTGAGTAATCTATTCGCAATGTAGAAGTAAACTATAATAAATCCAGCGGATGGTTATAAATCAAAGTGATGCTGCGCTATAGCATGCTCAGATAAGGATCAGCTAGCGTGAGCTAGCCTTAGTGAGATGTTTAACGTCAAAGTGACGTTGAAGCACTGAAAACTAGGCAACAAATCTGAGAGGAAAAGAATCCTGAACGTCATTGCAGTTGGATGTTCTTATAGTTAGGTGAAAACTTATTTTTTTGTTTTAAATAAACTAATTTATAGTAAAAATATTATTGGAAGATTCCTTAACAAAGTCTTAAATCTCTCAAATAACAGTGAATAACTAGTTAGTCAACGTTACATGTCGTGATAGGAATATTATTACAAGAACGCGGACCAAAAATAATAAAATATTTGAATGGTCCTTTTTGGTGTTTCTAACTTATTTAAGGCCTATTAGTTATACCACTTCATTGGGGCGGGGTGGCCGAATAGGCTAAAGCGTGTGCACTGCACCGCGAGTCGCATGGCAACCAGATATATGAAGATTTGAGAGACAAGAAAAGTACGAGTTCGCATCCCGGTGCCAGAGGGGATTTTAAATTCCCCGCCCCCACCCTCCGGCCCGGGAAAATCCCGTATAGCCTAAACGGCGAGGTAGGGAAGAACAAAAAAAAAAAAAAAAAAAAAAAGTTATACCACTTCAAACATATTTTTTATAGAGACTACCAGCTGGTTTTAATGGGGACTTCAATCGCAATGCCCAAAGTAAGAAGTCGAGAAAAAAAATATATTGTTCATTTTATAATTAATCCGAAGAGAAAAGGAATAAACAAAGAACTGCTTACAGAAAGTAGTCCATTAATATCTTATGTTATGAAGGCAAGGAGGATAAGATGGGCGGTACGTGTAGCTCGGAGGAATCTTTCAGGATGCCTTCACATAACCCAGTAGTATGTAAGAGACCATGTTGAAATAAAAAAAAAAAAAAAACAGATTGATCTAATTCACAAAGATGCAGCAGAGCTTTATGCAAAATATTGGAAAAACAACAGTCCAAGATATGAAGGGATTGAGAACAACGTTTAAGGCGAACATTTAGAAAGGTAATAGGAAAATATATATATATATATATATATACGGATTTCGAGATTATTTAACATCAATAGTTTTTTTTTAATTTTTTTTTTTTTTAAATAAGC